CCGTGTGGATTCTGAATCTACATACTCAAAAACATATATTCTAGCATTTAGTTTTGCAAAAAAAAAAAAAAAAAAAATTTTATAGATCATTGAAGTTTTACGAATTTCCTATTTAAAATAATCGGTATAATCAGCAGAATATTCTGAAATCGATTTCAAATTTGGAAATACCTCTGACTGTAATATATTTTTATATCTTTTTCTTTTTTTTACAAAGGAATAATCAAATTGTATAAATTAAGAATTTAAATATTTAGATCTACTTTTATATATAGGAGCTTTACAATAAAAAGGAGAAAAACTGTAAAATTTACTTTCATATGCTAAATAAGTTGTGAACTCATTTTTTTTACTTTGTAATTCCTCTTTTTTTTATATAAAAGTTTATATATTTATATTATATAATCATAAATAAATATATATAAATATATTTTGTTTATTACTAAAGAAAAATTTAAGGTACTTTTATAAAAATGATTAATTAATATAACATATATAATATGTTTATGTATTTTGTTTTTAATATATCATGCTACTATGTGTCTATATATTTTTTTTTATCATAATATAGGTAAAAATAACATTTCAAATTAAAGAATAATGTTGATTATGAATTTTTCTTATTTTCTTATTTTGATAAAAATATTTATTTTTTTTATCTATATTTTAGAAGAAATTCATAAATCCTGAAATTAAAAATAGTATACTTGTAGAATATATTGTAAACAAAATGAGTAATTTTGATTATGAAAAATATATTAATTTAAGTTTTTTTTGAAAAAAATTTCTTGGATTAAAGATGAATTAAATTTAAATTTTATCATCTTTAAATTTATTAACGTGAAATTTTTTGAAAAATATTTTTATTTTTTGTTATATGTTTTTAAGACTAATTGAAAATAAAAATATTATGAATATTTTCAGAGTTTGTTCTAAAGTTTTATCTTATTTTATTTTTTTCAAAGATCATAAAAAGGATAAAAAGATACAAATTTGACTTGTTTTTTTTTAGTTTTTAACTATTGTAATTTTAAAAAAAATGGTTGTTATTACTATTATTACATTACAAAATTAATACCAGTTAAAAGGATAAAGGATTTAGTATCAAAGTTTTCTCTTAGATGAGATCATTATCAAGTGTTAATATCTACTTGTCATTTTACTTTAACATCCTTTTCATTATTAATTATTGCAAGAACTCAATAAGAATAAATAAATTCATTTTCTTCTTTATTTTTTATAATAAATAAATCAAAAAAATCAATTTAAAAAAGACTGATTTATCAGAAATTTATATGATTAATAGCTATTTTTAAATACAAAAAGTGTTGCAAATTAATAATAATTTAAATATTAAATCATAAACATAGGTGTACTTAAGATAAATATAATCTTTAATTTAATTCTTTGATCTTGTTTAACAATTTTAATTATTTTACTATATGCAATTTTGTCAAAAACTTGTGATATAGTATGACTTTATTATAAAGTTATTTATTAATCCTAATGCAATTTTTTAATCAAGACATCTTTCTAATTAATGCCTTCTTATTCTCTATTTGAGAGTAGTATCTAATGATTATGTGCAATTCTTCAAATATTTGTTTGAGATGATGCATGTACAGAAAATAATGAATAATGATTTAAACATATTATTAAGATTAACTTTGAATATATTTATTAACAAGCTCATTAACTTTTTAAATATAATAAACATAATCTGAATCATTTAAAAAAAATGTTTTTTTATAAAAAAAATTAATCAAATATTTTATAACACTTTAGTTATTATTAAGATATTTATTATATGACTAATAAAATTAATTTCTTAACATTTTAAGATTTAGTAATATATATCTTATAATATATTATTTCTTTAAACTAATTCAACTTTTAGAAAAAAAAATCTTCAAAGAAATTTAGAAATATTATTATATAATTTAAATTAATAAGATACTTAATAGTAATTATTACTAAGAGTTAGCTAAATTTTAAATACTAGTAATAATAGAAAAGAAAAAACCAAAATTTAGTTAAGCAAATTACTTTTATAATTATATGATAAAAAATTTTTTAATTGAATTACTTTTTGAATAGAATAGAATAGTTATAGTGAATCAATGGTTTAATAATAAATCCGAACCTTTTTCTGTATAATTTTAAATATTATATATTACACAAACTTTCATATATCATATATAATCTTTCTTCCTTATGTTTTACATGCATATTTGTATATATTACCTAATTTAATTCTATTACAAGGTGATTATTATCTTTCTAATTATTCTTGAGTTTCCTTGTATTTCTGAACCCTCCGTTCAGTTTCTTTATTTACCTTTTCCTATTTATTATTACATGGTTATTGCATCTGTTTATTATATTACATTTATTTTTTGTTCTACTCAATTACATATTTATATAATACTGCCTCAAATATATTTACGAAATTTTTAATTTAATTTTTTTTCTTCACACATTTATTTACATTTAATACCATTACTAAATAACTATTAATTCATTATTGCAGATTTATTTATACACGCTTAATAAAAGTATTTGTATGATTAAAATTTTGATTATTACTACATTTATGTATTTTGTTAAATAATTATAAAAGCCAATATCAAATGCATTTAATCTAAAATTTTTGAATATTTTAGACCGAGGGAGAGATTACACTATTATTGGAACGAATGATATTAAATAATTCAAAATTCGATTTCATAAAAAATAAACAGATTGATAATGTTAAATTGTTCAAAAATATTACGAACATTTGCATGCGGGCGAGTTCTATCTAGTGATAATTCAAGTTAATGGGAATCATTTCTTTAAAATATTAATATCGATATATACTTTATATATTACCTGGTTTATATTCATTTTTTTTGTGACCCCTCGAATCCTATAAAAAATATAGACGATTTGTAATACCGAGAAATAATTTATAAAACGATTTAATTAGTATGATCTGCATTATGGTACCTGCCCAATCATTAACTTGCAAAAGAAATTGTTTGCGTTTCGTGATATCTTGGGAAGTTTTAGAACATTGTAAACAATGCAGTTAATTATATATAATTTAACGAATGTATGAGAATTAAACCTCGATCAATATTGTCATCATCAAGTTCAAATTTGTCAATATTGCCAGTGCCTTTTTCAGTATGTTGAAACTCAATATCGATATCAGAAAGTTCTTTTGTATCAGATAAATTGTTATTGAAAGTTTCGCTACGGCGTACAACATCGATACTGGATAAAGCACGTGTAAGTCTTGGTTCAATACTGAGAAATGAGTGCACTTTCTTAAGGCGTTGACGATTAAAGAATTCCTTTTGCTTTTGAAGTTCTGATTTTACTTTAATCTTATTCCTTAAAGTGTGATTTTTTCTTTTTAATCTTTCATTTTGAATATTGGGTAAAAAAAAAAGGAAAATAAAATAATAAAACCTTTTTCCTCCTGTCCAATTCATGATAAAATTGCTAATTTTATGCTGACGTCAATGAATGAATGAGATATTTATAATCCGGTCCGGGTCTTTTTTCCTGTTTTGACCAAAGAATTTGAGGATCGTCGGAAAAAGTTATATTTAGCTAATTACAATTGTCTTTTTCGGATATGATCGTGTGATATCTAATAATTCAAGAGTTTAAATAAAGGAAACTGTTTGATTACACAATTCTAAGTGTAACCGAAATATATATATATCCATAATTTTATTTATTGACTTACTTGAATACGCCTAGCTCCCAGATTAATATTAATTTCTATTAATTCTAGTTTATCGTCAAACACAACATTCTTTTATATTTTTATTTCTTATTCAATCCTTTTTTTTTTTTCGTCCGATGTTTTTATCTTTAATAGCTTTTAAATTTTAAATATAATGTTAAAAGTAAAGGACATTTTATTAAATAGTTATTTAATATCATATTCTGGAAATACGAAACCCCATATCTTTTATATAGCAAAAGTTTTATGTTTCTTGTTTGTTATACTGTCAGAACTAATACCTGTTGAATGTAAGTAATGTCCAAATATCTCTCAGTGTATAATGGATTTTTATAACTTTATATTTATTTATTGTGAATTATTTCTGTTTATTTTTTTTTTTTTTTTTTGTCACATTCTAATTATTTAAGGTTAGTACGAGAAAAATTTATATCTAAACGTTTCGGCTGACACTTAGTCTTAATAAATAATCTGTGATTTTGTATTGAATTCAATTAGATCCTAATACATATATAAATATATTTTGTTATTCTAGCAATATGTGACCCTTATAATCCTGCCGATGATATTTCGACCGCTCAACTGTTTTGTAATCCTAAAGGAGGCGAAGAATATAGAATTAATGACGAAGTCTTACTGAGCTGGAATCCCACTAATGCTAATCTATTTGATTCTAACGGTCAAAATCAAGTACTAGTTTATCTTTTTAGAATATGGCAAAATACATCTGTATATGAAGATGTAATAACGTTAAATCCCGGTAGCTCATTAGATTATCTCTTAGTTCAAAGAGCCTCCAACTTTATAAACTTAACTATAGAACCTAGATGGTTACCTAAAGATGAAGATTCAAACCCACCTAAAAGTTATTCATTTTTTTTCAGAGTTTTTCCAAGTGACTCTGACAAGAAATCAGATATAAAATTTTCAACCCCACAATTTAAAGTCATACGTAAGTAACTATTTTTTAGGATTCTCAATTTTATTAATATATATGGTCAGGTATATTAAAAATTCTTTAAACTTTTGCAGGACCAGTATTGAATTCGACAACAGCCGGTTCAAAAAGTCAAACAGCTCCAACAATTCCAACAGTTCCAGTAGTTCCAGCTACATCACCACTTAATTCGGAGGCTCAGGACGATAATTCCGAAAATAAAGTGTTGATTGCAGTTATAGCGGTGGCTAGTCTCGCTACACTTTTGGCCTTTGCTGCAGTTGTAATTGCTATCAGGAGTAAAAGACGATTCAGTAATCAAAATAAGCATAAAAGTCATTCTAATCTTTCTACATCTTCAAGTACTCCAATGGTTACACCTTTATCTATTGGCAAATTTGGAAATAATAACGTTGATTCTGAATCCCCTATAGAATCCGAATCCATTCATTCCACAACTCCACTTGCTATGAAAGAAGAAACACGCTTAAAACCGAAAACCACTATACCTAATGATAATCAACCAATATCCGCTTCAGACGCTGCTCTACTTTCAGATGCTTTTCGTAAAGTATTGCGAAAACCGGATTGGAAGCCCGAAGAAGATGACGACGATGACACTGATTTATCAAACGAGGAACGTTTACGGAGGAGAGAAGCAAAAGAATTAATGAAGAAGGAACTTGCGGAGGAAGGAACCGATTTACAAAATCTTTCAAGAAGACACACAAAAGTAGAAATTCGTAATATTAATGATGGACCAGAAAGAGATGTTGTTAGTCGTTCATCAGAATCTGATTCAAAATAATAAAAGAATGTTACTTTGTATTATTATTTTTGTTTATTGGAGCGATGTCGTTTTTTTTTTTGTCAATATAAAATCAAGTTATTTGGTGATATATATGTATATATATATTATAGAATGAAATGATTTTATAACTTTGTTATTACACTTGAAGTCTTATCTCCTTTTTCAAAAAATGTAAGTTTTAGGACACGTTTCTTATTAGGATCATTTGATATTCATTTAATTTTATCGCATATTTGAAGATTTGATAATTATTCAAAGTGTGAATTTTATTTTTATGTAATTTCTTTTCTTTTTTTTTTTTATAAAACTTGTAATTATAGTTTTTAGTTCATATTAATAATTCATTCAACAGGATTAAAAGAATAAATTTTTTTTATAGATCTATAAATCTTCGTCGATAGATATCTTTTATATTAAATCAAATACTAAGTAATCTTTATAATTAGAATTTTATTATTTTATAGATTAATGCTATGATAAAATTGATAAAATTTGTAATAAGAAATTTTTTTTTTTTATTTTTAGAAAATGTTAAAAAAGTAAAAATAAAGATTGGCTGACTTTGCGGCATTTAGGGGGAAAATTTGATAACAATATTAAAAGAAATCTATTATGGTTATATTATGTGATAATTACGAATGCGATTCAAAGTAATATACTTTAAAAAAATATTTTTTTTATTTATATAGGGAAAATTAATCACATGACTTTGAATGTTGAACAAAACCAAAAACTAATAAATCAAAAGTTTACACATTTTCCAACATATTTTAAAATTTGACCTTACTTCATAGCGATGACTTCTTCTGACTCAAAAGAAATGATTATGGTCACTTGTAACGACCGTTTAGGCAAAAAGGTTCAGGTCAAGTGCTCGTTAGTATTCCTACTAATTAACTTTTACAAGGTCATTGAAACGTTCGATTTTGATCGCTTGATTACTCACCATTTTCTTTTTTTTTTTTTTGATTTCAATCATACAAGTCCAAACGACACAATTTTAGAATTTAAGAAATTACTCGCAGCTCATATCGGTACTCCTTATAATAAGATCAAATTAAGATATGGGTAAGTTTGATAGTTTATCTATATGTATGCGATAATGATAAATTTTAATTTTAAATCATTCTAATTTTACCACCACATTTTTATCCATTTTATGAAGAGGTATCAATTCTCTTAATAATAAACTCACATTAGATGATTGTAAGTTATTAATTATATTTTATTTTTACTCGTTATTTATCGTTATTATTATTAATAATAATTAACACTATATCAACTATATCCTTAGATTCAATTAGTAATGGCGTTAATATCGAACTATATTATACATAAAACCATTCTTGATAATCGTTGGTATATGTAAAACTAATATAATTTGTGCAATTCAAAATTCAAAAAAAAAAAAAAAAATAAACAAAAAAATTTTTCATTTAATATACCATAGAAATGTTAAAATCAAAACCGTTATATTTAAGATAATCAAGGTCTATATATATTTCCTAGCCAATCCGTTTCAGTTCTTGGTATATTCCATGTCCAGCATTCATCACCACCTTGAAAATTATATGGTGTTAATGGTAGGTCATAAGGTAAACGAATAGGAATTATCAATGTTCCTCCTTCTTCCAATCGATTCCTTTTCTTAGATAGAGTTGAATTTGAAGAAGTGGTGTTACAAGATGGTAATGTAGGTTTTAAATTACGAGGAATAGAATTTATTAGGTGGACCGAAGTAAATTCAACTTTCTGAGAAAGTAAATAAAAAAAAAAATAAATTAAATTAATGTATAATGTAAAAAAAAAAAGTCATTTACGTTGAAAACTTACATGGAATAATTCTGGAAAGATTAATACACCCAACTCGTAACTTCGTATCATCAACTGTTTGCCTTTCTTTTGTAAAGTGCCCCATGCAGCTTTGGATAAATTGCTACTGGTCAATAAAAACCATGCAATATCTGCATTTGAATCTGAATTATTTGTTGACAAATTCGACAAAATTTTCATTCGAGAATATGTCTAAAATATCCAAACCAATTAGAATCATAAATAATATGATGTTTAAGATTATTTATAATAAACCTTAAGAACCTTGATATGTGGCATTGCACGATCTCTCCCGGCCTCAATTGCCTTCCATTTATTCAAATATTTCTGCATGTAAACTTTTTGTTTTAAATAATTTTCATGACTAAAAGGTAATGCTCGACCAGCCGCCCATCCCTCCAAACTTGTTATAAAAATGAAAATGATATCGTTAACCAATTCGAAACATGTTAATGACTTTGAAAAATTTAAAAAACAAAATACCTATCGCGAACATTCTCAACAGTTGGATAGATTAATTTTATTTCCGGGTCACTGCATTGATTTTGATTTTTTGCATGATTTAGACTATCTGCGAATTCATTTATCAACCAACTCTCGTCTTTGCCTAGTGATCCGACGCTGGAGAATTGGCATATAACGGTACTTTCAAGTTTACATGATAACGGGATAGTGACGTGTCTTAAAACATTCCTAAGCCTCATGTGCCCAAATCGTTCCATTCTTTCATTAACATGATAACCCGGTACTGATGCAATTAATTTCGCCTTTAGTAAATAATTGAATCAGTAAAAATCATATCAATTCATGAACAATATTTATTCATATATGATAATTCACCTTGACAGTTGAAAAGTCATATTCCTTCACTTTATTTCGAATATGCTTTAATTTATCACCATAGCTATCCAAATATTCAATCAAATCCAATTCGAATTCTGAACATGAAGCATTCTCACGTTTCTTTGGAAGAAACGGAGTCATGTATACTCCTTGTGTTTTATCGCTTTTTTTTTTTTTTTTTTAAAAAAAAAAAAAAAAAAGAAAAGAAACTTAGTCAAATTGTTCATAGAGAATTAGTAATTTTCTAAGATAGCAACATACGCCCAGTCCCTTCTTATTGCGTTAGCAGTGTGGATAACCATACGCATTGTGAAATTCGCGTAGAAAAGTAACATTGCCTACGAGAAGTCAATGTAAAAAATATTTTATAAATTATAACAATATATCGCATCATGATGATTGATGTACAATATCTTTTACTTTTGTATGATGAGTTCCTAAGAATTAATAATATACATTTTTATAGATACATTCATTGAAAATAAATCAGAAACAAATAACTATTAAACCTAACCGTATGGAATAGGTAGTCGTGGTGAAATAAGTTTCACATTCTTGAAAAGATTTGCTTCCGACTGGTAATTCAAGAGGGGTGTTTAGAATCGCAATTAAACGAATTTTTTTTGTTTTCTTTTATGTTAACCTTACTTTTAAATATCTTTCACTTTCTTCGCTAAGTCCATGCACAATAGTCGTAGGAATGGTTTTTTGCTTAGATTTAGGTAGATTCGACATCAGAAATTCAAGTTCAAACATATAATTGAATTGAACCATTTCTACCAAATCTTCCTATTAAAAATTAAATTCAATATATCAACTTTTGGGATGGTAGCAACTAATAAATTAAATTCCGAACCGAGTATAGGATAGAACTCAGAGAGACGCTCTCGACATTTTCTGAATCGGGAAGACTTTTAGTTGTCGTAAGTTTAATGCCAGAATCTTCATAAGATATATGTTGTTGTATGCTAGATTCTACAATATCATTTTTGCCTAAATTTATTTTTTGGCGTTTGATACTACTTTCTGAACAGTTGTCAGACATCTCGTATATAAAAAAAAATACGATTTGATCTCAGATCTTATATACGTTTTTCATCGTGAGAAATTTCGCATTCAACCAATCGATTACAGAAAACATTCATGTGATCTTTAATTTTTTTGGTTTTACCGCGAAAGAGTTGCGTTTTCAAAAAAAAAAAAAAATTATATATATAGTATTTACCTTCTCTTTTCTCATACTAATACTTGGCTTTTTTTTTTCGCTTTTCAGTTAAATATCCTAAGGTTTATCTATAAAAAATGTCGGCCTACTCCGAGGAAGTACTAATCTCTAAACTCAACAAACTTGTCGACACTCAAGAATCTATTTCCCTACTATCACAGTGTTGGTATTTCTCTTTAGTAAATATATATATATACACATATATTACTCTTTTAATTTAAAGCCTTTAGTCAACACAATCTTTGCAACGTTATCATTATAAGTCTCCTAAACATTATAAGGTTTCATCTTGTTCATATATAGTTTATTTATTATAGGGTTCATGTACCACCGACGACATGTAGCAACTAGTGTGGATATTTGGAATCGAGAGTTACGAAAAGGTAGATTCTGACATTCCCGATCATGATATCTTAACGACTCTATTAATTACTTGATTAAACCTTTTAATATGAAGCAAGTTCAGCGCGGAAAGTTTCATTCATATACCTCTGCAATGATGTTTGTCAAAATAGTCGTCGTAAAGGTCCGGAATTTGTGAGAGAATTCCGTAAAGTACTTCCAGATGCTATCGAACATACGTATCGTCATGCCACTGCCGATGTTCAAAACAAGATAAGGCGTGTTGTCAATATTTGGGAGGAACGTGAAGTCTTTGATAAAGATTTTCTGGATGAATTACGGAGAAACTTTGCGGGAACGAATTCATCACTACCTGGAAGTTCTATTGCAAAAAGGCAAATAGATAAACAGACGAAGGCAGGTACCTCTATATCACCACCCCCTGGACGTTCTGATATAGTAAGTGTTCGGATGTCTGAAATCTGATGTCATTTCTTCCCTCAGTCGAAGTTAAATTAATCTTACAAGAATATCGATCTTAGGCAAAATTGGTTTCGACCACACATACTATTGTAGATATGGAATCTATCATTCAGGAATATGGAAGGAAGGTTGCAAAGCTTTGGACGGAAATAATGGAAGCAGAAGGTATGAAAATTTGATTTGTTATTTTTTAAAGGTTTCAACATTTGAAAAATTTGATACAAAGATTTTTGATCCATAGAAAAGCCCGGACCATCCATTCTTTCGCAACAACTTGATTATCTCCTTCGAGTGCTGATAGAACAAAAAAATCTGATCACAAGGAATATCTCTAATCGAACACAATTCATCATTCAGATGAAAGAAATAATAGCACAAGAAGAAATGAAGCTTAGAATAGATAACAAAACTCTTCTAGATACTCAAAGCAAAATTAATGAAGCTAAAGAATGTTCAGAACAATTAAAAGCTATTACAGAGTTTCCAACGATCACCATTATGGATGAACATAATAAACAGCAACAACAAACTCAAAGAATTCCTGAAATTAAACGAGAGGAATCCTCTGAAAATAACAATTCATTTTATGATCCTACCACTCATTTGATTCTTCCCCCTACATCTTTTGCCGCCGATATTTTACCTCCTTCGGAAACTCAATTGTTTGGAGATTCATTAATTAATAATTATTTACAACTTCCATATCAAACCACGTCTATTTCTTCATCTATATCTAATTCACCAGCACCATCTAACACCAGTGATGAACATAGCGATCCCTTAGTATCTGCAGATACCTAAAACACATTACTTTGATAAGTCAAGTATTAATTCAGCTGGAACTGATCTTAAGTAGACGATCATAAAATTTTTCTTTAAATATTCGCTCTTATATTTTGAATAACTGTTTTTTGCATTAATATGAATAAAATTAGAATAATAATTGAATAAATTCGCATTTTTTATTGATATTCGAAAATATTAACGGGATTTTATATTTGATTACGTTATCGGAAATGATGTCCAATAATAATAAGAAATTTTTTTTTTTTTTTTTTATGAAACATTGTTAGGATGATGTTAAAACATAAGTTAACACCTTTACTGAAGAGTAAGGGGGAACTTTATTCAATCCTTAATTTCCGGAATATATTTGTAAGGAAAAAAAAAAAAAAAAAAATTTTTTTTCCTCTTAATAAATTTATAAATAATTAATTCTTTTTAATATTAGAGGAATTATGTAGGAACGACTAGAGATGATGGGAAAAAGGAAACTCCAATACATCAAAAAATAACATTTTCGGGAATCCAACCAACAGGAACACCACACTTAGGAAATTATCTTGGAGCCATAAAGAATTGGGTAACATTACAAAAGAATAAATCAGAAACCGAATTGATATTATATTCTATAGTTGATTTACATGCACTTACAATAATTCCAAGGGATGCAAAATTGTTGCAGAAAAGTAAAATTGAGATGACAATTATATTAATGGCTTGTGGAATCGATCCAAAGAAATGTTTGATTTTTGAGCAATCAAAGGTATCGGCACATTCGGAATTATCATGGATATTGAGTTGTATTACACCAATTGGATGGTTATCTAGGATGACACAATGGAAGACCAAATTTCAAGAACAAAAAAATGTAAAATTAACCGAGAATATTGATATCACTCGTGGAATGGATTTAGGATTATTTGGATTATTTGCTTATCCCGTATTACAAGCTGCTGATATATTACTTTACAAATCTACCCATGTACCAGTTGGTGATGATCAAATTCAACACTTGGAATTAACGAGAGATTTAGCCGATAAATTTAATAAATTGTATAAGAGAAATGTATTTCCCTTACCACAAACTATCCTCGGTAAGTAAATTCAAAAAAAAAAATTCTTTTAACTTTTTTATTTTTTAATTCTCTTGAGAATAATTTTTTTTTTTTTTTGATTAGTTCCGGCGAATCGTATTTTATCACTTAAAGATCCTTTGAAAAAGATGTCAAAATCTACACCACTCGAATATTCTAGAATAAATTTGACAGATTCACCCGAGAATATTTCACAAAAAATAAAACGGGCCATTACGGATTCGCAAGAAGGAATTTCATATTCGCCTGATACACGTCCTGGGATATCCAATTTAATTAATATTTATTCCAGTTTTACGGGTTTGACCATCGAACAAGTTGTAAATGAATATAAAAATAGCGATAATAAAAAGTTTAAAGAGTCGGTTGTTGATGTGATCGTACAGAATTTACAACCGATTCAAAAAGAGGTTGAAAAGTTAAAAAAAGAGGAAGGATATGTGAATTGTATACTTGAGGATGGTGCGAAAAAAGCAAATGAAATTGCCAAAAGAAACTTTGAAGAAATTTGTAAAGTTATCGGGTTGCGTTGATTAATTTAACTAATTTTGGTCAAGTAATTTATCCATAAATAGGTGTAATTTCGGAATAAAAAAAAATCGACCATAATTTTTTTTGAATTAATAAAAGATGTCATCAATTAAAAGATTATTGCCTCTTGACGGAATAAAAGTTATCGAGATTGCAGGATTAGCTCCTGCACCATTTGCAGGGATGGTATTAGCAGATTTTGGTGCAAACGTCATCCGAGTTGATAAATCCACAAACATGCATAATAACATGGACAAACTTACAAGGTGAATGAAATAACCAATTTAACGAAAACGATTGCATTACATTATATCAACCGTTTGTTTTACGAATCTATCATAGACATAAACGATCAATTTCTATAAACTTAAAATCACCAATTGGAATCTCAATCTTAAAACGATTAATTTACCTCGATACTGATATATTGATTGAACCATTTCGACCTGGTGTGATGGAAAGGTTGGGATTAGGACCGAATGAATTATGTAAACTTAATGAAAAGTTAATTTATGTTAGGTTAACCGGTTTTGGTCAAAAAGGTATTTTTGTAATAAAGGGTATATCAACTTTGAAACACTTTTTTGAACAAATAAAAATTTTTTTTTCTTTTTTTTGGCGCAGGTAGATTTTCTAATATGGCGGGACATGATATTAATTATCTTGCAGTTTCCGGTGTATTATCGGTAGGCATTATATGATGTACCTTTTTTTTTTTTACTTTAAAAAAAAATTGCATTTCATCCCAACCTTCTTTTTAACCTTCATAGCTTCTTGGAAGAAAGGATGACCGTCCCATGTTTCCATTAAACATTCTAGGTTTTTTTTTATTATTTATTTATTTATTTTTCTTTTTGCTGAAGACAAAAAAGGCTTCCTTATTAAATTTGTTCAATAATAGCTGATTTTGCTGGTGGTGGTATGATGTGTGTATTGGGTATCTTATTTGCATTGATTGAAAGATCAAAATCGGGAAAAGGTCAAATCATTGACGTTGCGATGGTATTTTTTAGAATTTAAAGTGTGAAATATTTTTAGTTAGTTGATCAATAATAATCATAAACATTTTTATATAAAAGGTTGATGGTGTCAAATATTTGGCAACTTTCCTTCATTTAATGAAGCTAATGAAACAGTTGATGACTGAACCCCGGGGAGAAAATTTGCTTGACGGAGGTGCTCATTTTTACGAAGTTTACGAAACCAAGGACAATAAATATATGGCCGTGTAGGTTTTTTTATCTCAATTTAATCATCCCTTTATTTTTATGATTAAATTTTTTTTTTTTTCCTTTATAAATTAAGCGGTGCTATTGAACCGCAATTTTATGCAGAATTATTAAAAAGATTAGGTTTAAATGCGAATTACTTACCATCCCAATTAGATAATTCGAAATGGAATGAAATGAAACAATTGTTTAAAGAAAAGTTCATGACTAAAACGCAAGATGAATGGAATCAAGTATTTTTTGGTAGTGATGCATGCGTTACACCCGTCTATGAATTAAGTGGGAAAGTACCAGAACCTGCCCCCAAGTTATACGAAACCCCCAGTAGATTGGCTCACATCAATGAATCCTTGGATCCCGGTAAGCATAGTGAAGAAATTTTAAAAGAATCCGGTTATAGTGAAAGTGAAATCAAAGAATTTTTGATGAGAGGTATCGTTGGTGGATTAAATTTTAAAAAAAGTTTATTGTAAATAAAGTTCCACATGAAAACGGGGTTTTGGATTTTTATTTTTCAATTCGAGTCGCACAAGTGAAGCCTAAGCCTTCCTCGTGAAACGCGACACGGAATCTCTTTTGCGCAACGCATTTAATTTATCCCAATTGAATTTTCATTTTTTTTATCTACTGAAGTTAGAATTTGGTAATTCATTTGTCCATTATAAAGTCGAACAAGGATTTAAAGTTTGTGAAACTAAAAAAAAAAAGTTTATATAAATAAAGGATTCAAAATTATTATTTTATTGTTTTCAAAAAAAAAAAAAAAAAAAAGAAAAACATTCAAAAATTTCAAAAATTCAAAAAAATTAAAAATGAATAAAGGAAAGAAGGAGAAGAAAGATAAGAAAGAAAAACTCGATGAAATGGCTGATGCAGCTGCCGATGTGACAGATTCTATTCTTTATGGAGTAGAAGTAGCTTCTCACGCTGTTGAGGCAGTAACAACAATTGCTGTCCCTTTCGCACAATTCATTCCACTTATTAGAGATGTAACTGACATTCTTAATAAGGTTACAGATTTATACAGGACGGCTCAACATAATAAAAATATAACCGAGGTTTTGATGGAACGCATTTCCGCAGCAAATTCCGCAGTTCAGATATTACAAGCAAGAGAAGATTTCTTTAATTCAAAAGATTATACAAGTTTACAAAGATTAGTTCAGGTTCTTCAAAAAATGAAAAAATACATTGAAGAAATAACACAATTTAATACTGTACAAAAATTTTTGGGGGCTAAATCAATCGAACGACAATATAAAGAATTATGTAATGATTATGATAGCAGCATTTCCTTATTAAATTTCACCTTAACGGTTGGCTTTAAGATTGATTCAGAAAAAGAAGATAAAATTTTAAAGGAAGACATCGAAGAACTTTTAAAGTTTCAAACAGCTTTGGCGGAAAGTATCGCTGACGTGGGTGAGAAAATGACTAGTGTAGACGAAAAAATCGTTGGAGCTAACGACAAAGTGGAATTGGTTATCGAGAAAGTCAGTGAGATGCAAAACACTATCGAGAAAGTCAGTGAAATGCAAATCACTATGCAAAATTTGATGAATAATCAAAAGAATGAAAAAAGCAATCAAGACAAAATTGATATTATATTTAATGAATCCCTACTTCCATTCGAATATTATGAAGAGGCTGATGAACCACCTCGAAGTGATAGATTAAGAAAATTTATTCATGTAAAAACTAAATTGGATTTTGCTTTTAAACTTGTGGATAAAGAAAATTATAATACTGTTAAAAATCAAGTCACAATTCTCAAAAAGCTAAAAGATTGTCAAAATATTATTCAATTCTATGGCCTTACTCATGATGGATGTAATTATCATTTGGTAACCGAATGGGCAGAAAATAGAACTTTACGTGAATTTCTTACTTCAAATGCGCAAGATATTGACATGAGATTGAGAATTAGGATTAGGATTGCTTATGATATCGCTAAAGGGTTAAATTTCATTAATTCTGTCGGGGTAATAAATAAATTCCAACATTATATTGAACATTTAAAATTTTCAATTTTTTTTCAATTTTTAAATATTTAAAAAAAAATATATATCTTTTTTTTTTTTCCTCTCATCCTATATAGATCGTTCACCGGGATATTAGATCAGAAAATATCGTAATAACAAATTATGAAGTTGCAAAGATTACAAATTTTAAATTTAGTAGAAGACATAATACGGCTACTAATAATCTATCCGCAAATAAAGAATGTATTGTATACACTGCTCCTGAATTGTTAAAAAGAATTACAGAAGCAGTAGAGAAGAGCAAGGCAGATGAGGAAGAAAGAAGGGGAGAGAATAAAAAATATGATACCAAATGTGAAGTTTACAGTTTTGGTATTCTTCTTTGGGAAATTGCTGAATGTAGGGTTCCGTATGAGAATATTGGTGACTTTTATGAAATTACCAAAAAAGTATTAAAGGGTCATCGAGAACCCTTTACATCCGGTAACATTATTCCAGAACAATATAAATCTCTCGTAAATAGAGCTGTCGATCAAAATCCAGGTCGAAGACCTATCTTCTCAAAAATGTTGACAGATCTTAAAGATATCTTTAATAATTATACTCAACATCCCATAAGCCGTTCCGGTTCTTTAAATAACGGTAGACCTCCTTTACCTCCTCCCGTCCGAAAATTGACTGTCCACACGATTGCGGCAGCAGATGAAGATTGTGCTATTGATTTCAATAGTATTAATTCGATGAGCCTTGAAAAGGCAATTGACGAACACAAAAAAAACAGTACGGATAAAAGTACATTATATAAGTGTTTCGATAATTATGCTAAAATGGGTATTCCAGTTGCAAAATATTGGAAAGCTTATTTTATCTCAAAAGATTGGTCTGACCTTAGTTGTTCTAAGAGTGAAAGATATAAAATTGCTGCTGAACTTTACAAAGAAGCTGCAGATTATGGGGATGAATTTCCTGACGCGCAGCTTCGTTATGCGACATTGGTTATGCAAGGAAAAGGTGTTAGACAAAATACGGAAGAGGCCGTTAAATATTTTCTTAAAGCAGCGAAAAATGATCATGTGGTGGCTATGTTTAATGTTTCTACTTATTATTTCTCGCAACGTAATGATGAGTTGGGCAAATATTATATGATGATGTCCGCTAGCAAAAAATATGATCAAGCAATTAAGTATTGCAAAAATCATAACATCACCTTCTAAATACTGTATATTTATTTATTTATTTATTTGAATTTTGGATCGTCAAAACACGTGATAACAATTTTTTTTTTAAATCTGGTCAGAAATTATCAAATTTTGTAGTTTGTACAAATATTATTTAAAACTTTTTTTTTAAAAATTTAAAGTTAAATAGTATTTTTAGATGTTTAATATAATATTATAAATATATATAAAATAACAAATTGTTTACATTATGAATATTATATCAAATCATACAGAATTTTTTATTATTATTTACATTACTTAAATTATTAAGATTTATGATAATTTATCTTTTTACATTTCTTTAACTCTTGTTAAAGATTCTCTATTAAATTTAAATCAAGAATATTTGAAAGTTAGTCTATGATTTCTAAAATATTATTTTTTTAAAAAAAAGTGGTTTATATATTTAAATTATTTTTTTATAAAGATTACTAATTATTTTCAAATATTTTACAATTTTTTTAAAATGTAATTTTATAAAATTTTAATATAAAATTTGATGTAATTTATTAAAATCAAGCCTTGTATTAATTTATAAAATGTTAATATTATTTTTTAAAATATTGCTTTAATTATTCAATATGATTTAATTATAAATATTATTAAGTATTAAAATTATTATTAAAAAATTTTATATTTATAAATCATTAAATGTTTAGAATAGTGAATTCTAAATTTTAGAACTTACTTCCTATTATTAATAACTTGAAATGTTATATGTTATATTTTATAAATTTTAATTATTAAAAAAATATTTTAATTATATAACTTTTGAGCTAATTATAATTACTTTAATATATCAAAAATTTATGTTATATAATATAGTAACAAATAATCATTAATAACTTAATTGAAGGACTTTTCATGTTAAATCAAATATTATTAATATATTTAATATAATTATTAATTCTAATAAAGCTTTGATCCTCTTTTTTAAGATATATAAATATTTTATTAATTATATAAAGTTTATATATACTGATAAAAATAAATATAACTTATTGTAAGTTTTCTTTTATTTTATTTATATTATATTTAATCTACTCTAAAATAAGAGTTTTTTTTTATTTTATAAATAAAAAGATTATTATTAAATCTATATATATAATACATTTTTTTAACATATATCATTTTATAATTTTAATATTTTGCAAATTGCAAATACAATTAAAAGCAATATTAAACTAATACAAATATTAATAAATTAGATAATTGTTAATATATCAAATATTAATATAAATAATTATATAGCTATCAAACATACTACTTAGTATATTCTGACTATATAAATAGAATTTTATATAGTATAATATTAACATAATTAAAATAAAAATATAGATTTTAGTATAAATAATCTTTTACATTATCAAGAAAAATTTTATTAATAGATTAATAGAATTTTTATACTGATATACTTAATCTTCTTAAAATAATATTATTATTTGTATTACTTATTATTTAATATAGTATTTCTTTTATAAAATAATATACTTGTAATATAATTTAAATAAGTTTATCTAAACAATCAAAATTTATATCAAATGATTAATAAAAATAATATGTTTTTTTTTGATTTTATATATTTATAAAACTGAAAAATAGATTAATATTATAATGATGATTTTTTACTTTTTCAATCACAAATATCAAAAAATATAAAGTTAATTATTAATTAAGTTATTTTTTTAAATAGTTGTGAAAAAAAAGCAAAATAAATAAAAAATCAACTGATAAATTTATTTAATATATTTGGTATTCTTTTTTTTTATAATTTTAGTAAAACATATCATGTAATTTTAAAATTACATAACATAAATCCTTTAGAAATTGAAATAGATAATAATGATACATTTTTAAATTAATTAAAATAAGTATTAATTTTCATTTTAATACAAATTTTGTAAATATATAAAAATTCAAATATCCTTAAAGGTAAAGATTAATTAATATTTATGTATAAAATCAGTTAAATAAAATAATTTAACTTATATTTAAAAATTAAGAGGTTAAATATAAAGAAAATAGATTAATTTTTTTTAACTGAGCTATCTTTTTATATAAAGAATATTATAAATTATAATATTCTAATATTTTAATTGAAAGAGATTATTAATAAGTAAAAGTTTAATTAGTATTATATATTCTAGGTAGATACTAAAGATAATTATACTTATTTTAAGTGAATTTTTTCTTTATATCTTCTATTTTTATATAATATTCTTTGTTATATCTATATTTTAATATAAATTAACAAATTATTAATTAAATTGTATTTTGACAGATGAATTGTATTTTGATAAACATAATTATTTTATTAATAACTAGTTGCTAACCTATTGCAAAGCAAAAAAATTAAATTATATGATATTACACTAATTAAAAAATCTTTTAATAAAAATAGATTTTAATAGTTTCTAATATTTCATAATAGAAGCAATAGAAGCAATAGAAGTAAAATATATTATATTACATATATAAAAACTTGTATAACTGATTTTGAAACTTGAATTTAAATTTTACTGAGAATTTGTATAATGATATATATTTAATCATTTTATTTATATAGTAATTTTAATATAATTATTACATACAATTTTTTATTATATTAATAATTTTATAATAAATGTTAAATTAATGAAAATTAATTTATCTAATATTATATTTATCTTTTTATTTATTCTTTTTATTTTTAATAGAGTTAGATAAAATATAAAATTAACAAAAAAATTGTATTTTGTAATAATTTAAGTTCAGGTAATACATCTGTCTCTAGTATTTTCTTATTAAAGTTTTTATTTTTTTATCCTGATTTTTCTTCTTAAAAACTTTTTTTTTTTAAAGATTATAAGCAATATCAAAGGTATTAATAAAGAAATTTAAATATTATTATAATTACTATTTAAATTAAAAATGTGAATTAAAATAGAAGCTATATTATTTACATTAATTTTCAGTAAAGCATTTTTAGGCAAGATTTTTCTAGGATATATCATCTTAAAGATTTCAATTATATGATTTTGATTATAAATATTATTAATAGATTTGAATTAACTTAATTTATAATATATTAGATTTGAGAATTAGCGAGTCTTTAGCATTGCAAATAATTTGAGTAATATATATATTATCCTATATTATTAACTTTTTTCAGAGTTACGGGATCATAATTATATTTAAATAACTTATTAACTTTTCTTATTTTATAGATTATTATATATAAATGGTTATCATTAATATTTATAAAATATGATTTTATTTTATTATAAATTACTTTTATAATTTTATCCTAAAATTCTTATTTATATTTCTAAACTCTATAATTTTATCTTCAAATTATTTAGAAAAGTGATTCTAAGATAAAGATTTTATTTTACTTTAATCAAATTTTTTTTGTAATATTCGCTTAATAAAATAAATAAGCTGAATTTTAATAGCTTATTAAAATACTTGTGAAATTAAAGAACTTTTTATTAATTTAATATTATTTTTATTTATAGATTTTAGAAATAATAAAAAGTTAATGCTAATAAATTCTTATAACAAGTCTTGAACAAAATAATTTATTAAGCTATAATTTATAATAAAATTTGTAATATTTTTCTTTGATTATTTCTATAAAGTATTAATAATAGTTTCTGTCTTATATAACCTTTAAATCTTAATATTAAGTTTTATATAATATTACATAATAAGATTAAATTTATAATAGAATTTTCAATACTTTTTGAACTTGATCCTGTGAAATATTTGCAATAACTTCAATTTTATGAAATAATTTTAAAGAAATAGAATTGTTACTTTCATTAATGAATTGATTTTCTGACTAATCTAAATTGTTATCAACATCAACTATTTTTGTTTTATATGATAGGTTGAAAATGATATTCTAAGTAGTTAGTTTACACTGAATTTTCTTCTTCTTATTGCATTGTCTTATATTATCACAAATGCTTTTCTTATACACCTTAACTAAAAAAGTATATATTCCTTTATCCTTCAATGCCTTTACCTACTCACTATTAAAAGTGAAGAATTGAAGTTAGATGAACTATTATTAAGAGAATCATTAATTTGCAACTGCCTTATTCCAATTGCATTGCTTTATCTCTAAGCTCAGCAATAGTATCCATCTTATTTTTCTCTAACTGCTTGATTCTAGCTTTGAGTTCAACATTTTCAGCTTTGTTTTGGTGGTTTCTTCTATAACCAGCTTTAAAGGTTCTGCATTCTTGGCCTCAAGCTCAGCTTTCTTCATCTTGAGTTTAGGAATGCATTGTCTCAATGAATCTATTTCAGATTATATGTCCATATACTATAATTTTTTTATGCAAAGTAAGAATTATTCAAATTACATTTGCGGAATGATCGTTAAGAATATTAACGGTTTTCCCGATTTTTTTTTTCAAATTTTTATTAAAGTGAATGTTGAGGGTTTATGGTTAGACCAGTCTGACTGAACTGAAACTGAAAAATGGTAAATTGTAATAAAATTGTGGGGATGCATAATAAGGCGAAATTATTTCAAGTCAAAAGCTTGATGGGAATAAAGTTTGGGATAATAGATAGATCGCAAAAAAATTTTTTTTCGTATAATTTGATTTTTTTTTTTGGTTTATTTTTTAATATAACAAAGTTTTTGATTGAGAATGTTGAAATTAGCAATTCGTGTTGCAATTAGATTTTATACAATATATATATATATATAAACTCCAGTCTAATTTTCAGTTTTAAATCGGTCTATAAATCGGTCTATAGTTCGATTTTACCCTCAACCTGATAAAAATCAGACTGAAACCGAACTGGTCGAACCATAATTC